TTTCTGATCAGCCATCTTCAAGCAAGAGTTTTGGCTCGAAAACAACTGCTCAATGGCGCTCAAGATTTCGCAAGATGCGTGCTGAATCGCTCTCTCGAATGAGGTCTCCTAAGGATTTTGAAATCACTCAAGGTCAATGAGGAGAAAAGCAAAAAACGCCATAGAAATAAATTGAAATTCTCTTTGTGGTTTCGGCCATGGCATGATGGGAGACACAGCGCTACAAGATGAGATGGGAAACGCGGGAGAGCACATCGTACACGGGACGCAGGCGCCTTGTATGCTGTGGCTGGTAAGAATGGCAGCACGGCAAATACAAGGCAAGCTTTAGCGTCATCACCTCACACTTCTGAGTCGCAACGTGTCGCGCCTCCTGTGCCTGGGTACCGCTCCATCTCACTTTAAGTGGGAGTACTTCCTGGCACCTAATCCTGACCTGTGGCTTCAACACGTTGAAAACAGCGTGCAGCACATGCGCTACACTTTGAGCACCGTGTGGAACCGTGTGCAGCGCATGTGCTTCACCCGAATTGTTTATTATTTTCGCGCATGCCGTACTTCTTTTCTGATTTTTTTGCATTTATCTTTTGGAATCACATCACAGCGTGACCTTAACGGTATGGTTGACCGAAATGTTGAGTAGTTTAGTTAACTTTAGCAAAGTTGCACTTGAAAGAGTTACATACACCCCCGCCCATTTTCTAACAGCTGCTCTCAAAAAATCATATGTAGGCTGAACATTCATCAAAACACCACTCCAAGTCTGAAGAAAGAAGTGCCTTTTCGACCAAAGCGAAGAATTACTCACCGCTTTCACTGAATCCATTTAATTGACCTTATCAAATTTTTCCATGTAACCAACTGAGCGTAACATCTGCAAAAGTTACTGTCAGTTCGGGTTATTCTCAGGAAAAGGGATGTTCTGGTACAGAGTATCCAACACTTTGGAATTCCTTACACAAATCTTCTTTTGTTACAAATGTTCAGAAGAAGTAGAAGTTACTTTTCTGCGGAAGCAAACAGGTCCACTCCCCCGAAGTTTCGTTCTCGTGCGAAAGTAGTGATCAACGTAGTCGGCTCGCATTGCAACAAAATACCCCCTCCATTTCGAATAGATCTGCAAATGTTTTTGAAATTACACATTCACCGAAAGTTAGTTACCCTCGCCTTCAAATGACCAGAAATTGTGCGATTGCAGAAATTGACGTGGCATTAACGTGGCATCGATTCAAGGACATCTTTGTGCACACGTGACGTCACCTTTTCATTGAGAATTTAGCCACGTGTGCTAATGCCACGTCAATTTCTGCAATTGCACAATTTCTGGTCATTTGAAGGCGAGGGCACATACGTAAGTCCGTAACTAGGGGCATTCGGGTGCCCTTAAAAAGGTCCGTCACGCGGCGAAGGAAGGGACGCAGATGCGGCAAAGAACGAGTCGCAGCGCGTGCTATGCGATATGAGACGTAGCATGGTACACAGCGGTCACATGGCGCGATCCCATTGGTATTGGAGCACACATTCCGTAATTAGAACACTGCTGTGGTCGGACAGCTCGTCCGCGCAAGACATACTGTTCCGTTCCTCTTGCATTGGCAGCAGGCCAGCAGAAGCTATCCGCTCTTTTTCATATCTTTGAGACCCAACTAGGTTTTGGACACTCAACTAACACGTCCATCAATTTTTGAAGTCTAGTAGAAGAGTGATGCGGACGACTTGTCCGGATACAGCGGGATGTGGCAGTTGCGGTCTGTAGGCTCCAATGCCAATGGGACCGCGCCAAAGGCCGGACGCATAGTCAGTCGGACGACAGCAACGACCGCAAGTGTCGAATAAACCGCGGTTGCAAAGGCGACGCGGTCACCCAATGCTAACCCAGACAACACGTGACTGCGCGTGATCGTATCTCGAAAGTCCCACTGTAGTGTGGAATAGTAGCTACGTATTGATCTACGACACTTACCGCGTCGCCTCCCATTTGCAACCGCGGTTTATGCGACACTTGCGTCGTTGCTGTCGTCCGACAGCAGCGGTCGGACGACAGCAATGACCGCAGGTGTCGCAGATCGATACGCACCCAATGCTGTGCGACACTTGCAGTCGTTGCTGTCGTCCGACCGACTATGCGTCCGGCCATATGACGCACGCCCCTGTTCGACCTGACGCCTAACCGCTACAGTATGCGTTGCGACTCGTCCTTTGCCGCATCTGCGTATCTTCCTTCGCCGCGCGACGGGCCTCTCAGGGGACGGGCGACGGACTTTTGGCTCGTCCGGGTTAGCACGCGGCAAATTGCGCGGCGAGCGGCGCGGCGATAGCGACGCATCGCGGGAATTCAACACGTCAACGTGTGGACATTGCGGATAAAATCCGCAAGGTTCTGCAATACGAAATTCATCTGAACAGCTGGAATTTTGAGGACAGCGGTGGTTGTAACAGTAGAAAGAGATAAGAAATAACTAGCGTAGTGCTGTTACGGCAATGAGGGCGCTCATGTCTTTGAGGGGGGGGGACGTTCCATTAGGGGGAAGTAAGTGGGCCAATCACTGTGTTTGGGACGAGACTTAGGGAGGAGAAGGGATTCTGAGGGGAGTAATTTTTGTTCTCCCTAGCGTCCCTAGCCTGTGCTGGGCTTAGTCCTAGTGACCTACCATCGACCCTGTTTTGTTTTTTTGTTTCGAATGTTTCTCCATTGGACGTGAGCGTATAGATCAGCAAAACATATATAATTGACGGTAAACACCTCATCGAAAACTCCCAATTTTAGTACCTCTTATTTGCTTTGATGGTAGTGGTGACATTTACATGAATGCCCTCACTCAACTCCTTGCGCTGGATTCTCCTCACCGATACTTTTGCTTTACACCCCCGCGAGCGGAAAGATTTTCAAACAGCAGAACCATGTGGAGTTTATTCGCAATCCCACACACATGAACGTGTTGAATTCTACCTGAAAAAAACCGCGAAGCCTTGTCCCGTCCAGTTCGCCGCGCGTGCCGCCGCGGAACTCGCCGCGTGACAGGCCGGACGAGCCAAAAGTCCCGCACCCTCAATGGACACCCGGGGCATTCGCACGCGTTCCGCACATCACTGATCGTGAGACAGAATGAGAACATATTCTTATAAGGTTATACCCCCCTTACGACTGATATCCACTCACGGTATGTAAATGTCCAAATGGCGAAGCAGTCAATTAATAGCCTAAAGAAACGGGTATGGGCTTAGAATCTGCGAAATCACGTGAGTACTTCAAATTACTTCCATGTTCTTTGACGAAGAAAACTGGGCAAATGGGATCGAAAGACGGTTGCTGGAACAGGAACAACTCTACGAATCGCTTGATTTGCAAAGTCTGATATCGGCCTAAACAGCGCCTTATGATCACTGTGCTCCGACATGTTCAAATTTTGCCACAATGTAACATTGGCTCACCGACTCCGGAGTTCCTCCCCCCACTGAGGCTTATTCCTACGGCTCTCACCTTCCCGCTTGGGATTTGGAGCCGAGCCAGATGCCGCTCGCTAATCGTCTGTGCTTGACCTTCCGGGAAAGAGAACACAGAGGAGAATTCAAGTTGTCACGTAATTAGAGAGAGCTGCCGGGTGTGTGAATCATTCGCCGTGCAGCGAAGTAGTGTGGTATGGCTGGTGGCCGAGTTCGCGATCCGTCGCAGGTTTCGCGCGATTCAAGCGATTACGCAATTAACCCGATTCACGCGATGATTCCCCGAAATCACAAGTGCCCGATCAATACTGCAAGGTGTTCTCCAACTATGCCCCCACTTCTGGTGATGATGGCTCAATGACGACTGCTAATGATTCCACTTGTTTCATATTCAGTGTTTCAAACGTCAGATGGGGCTTGCAATTTTTGCGATGCGCGCGAATCGCGTAAATCGCTTGAATCGTGCGAAACCTGCGACGGAACGCGGAACCTGACACCACCTAAAGTCACGATGATCATGTCTTGCTACTTGGTAGAAGAACGCAAATAAAAGGCGTTGACACGCCGTTCAAACGACCGACGTATGACGCGACTTGTAGGGATCGTTGGAAGGATCTCGTTTCGGGACCCACTACTAAGGGTGGACCTCCGCCACTTAACCGTTTCTATTCTCTATTGAGCTTATGAACAGCAAAAAGTTATTGGCCAATGAAGCACCTAAATCTGTTCCAAATGGGACACTGTGGCGCAGAGTGCCCTACACATTTACATCCACGACAAGACTTTCTTTCATTATAAACGTTCAGGACTAGATCCTCAAATGGTGGAGGGAGAGATTCCGGTACGCGTGAGCAGTCTTTTTCCAAGTACTTCCCCACTCCTAGGCTATGTCCCCCGGAAATCCTCATCTCCAAGCCTACCTGCAACTTATTCTTCGCACAATTCAGTAAGAACATGCTTGCATCATAACTTTGAAAAAAGCCCAAAGATGTGGCATAGGAATGAAATCGCTAGCAGTACCTAATTTTCTTGAGCAAAATCAGTATCTATCGGAATAGATGCAACATTTCAAAGGTCGCGTAGGACCTGCAACAGTGATTGCTTTTTACGCCATTCTTCAGATTTTGTTAAGAGCGAAGTAGCTTTAAGCATGTTAAGAAGAAAAGCCCTACTATATATAAACAAATGTGGGAGAAAAATATTCGCTGAGCGTACATTCGCAATAAATGCGATCAGTAGGTAGATTCAACGACGGCTCTGACTTTTTTCACACCTAAGAAAGTTGCGGCGTGCACGAGAGGCATGCCGTAGAACACAGTCCGTACTGGGGTGTGGTTTACTAGGAGAGAAAGCGACTTGCGAAACATTTTTCGTTGCAACTCTCGCGTGCAGTGATTTTTCGCTGCGGGAACCTCAGGTCCACCTCTGCTCATAGGTGGACCCAAGGTTCCCGCAGCGAAAAATCAGTGGACCCGAGAGTTCTGCAACGAAAAATGTTTTGCGGTGCGAAACGCGACAAAGTCGCTTTCTGTCCTAGTGAACCACACCCGCCGTACTGGTGAGGCATTGGCGAGAGAGCATAGTGGCAGGAAAGAGTACGACCTTCTGCTCTTCAGCCTGCTCTCGTCCGCGCCTGCCCACGTCTAAGACTTCACTTTTGAAGCACGGATCCATTTGACGACGACAAAAAAGAGAATCTGCACTGTCCATCATCACGCATTATGCTGGAATGGATCACAAAAAAACGAAGAAGAATAAACAAAAAAGAAAAAATAAAACTAAGTGGGCAAGGCCACGGTACAACTGGAGTTCGGACAACAATTATCTGCACACGGTTGAATTGTCTGCGTCCTCCCACTGAGACAGCACTTTGTATTCCAGTCAGTTGACAAGCCGTTTTCCCTCTCCCCATCTCCGATTATGCCAATATCCTGGCCCATGTTGCACTGAGTGGAACCCGGAACCCGCATCTTGATGAGACGAGCAAGCGGACCAATGCTGCCCCCTCCCTCACCCATTTACACTGGCACCAGGTCCACTTGTGAATCACATTGGTAACAAGCATCTTTTGCGGAAATGCGAAATCGCTGAAAACGAGATCAGAGATGCCGGCGTGCTGACTCCCAGCTTGGTTGCACAGCATAATCGCAACTGCACGCGCGCATCACTATGAACACTTCTACCAGGAAACTGAAAATCATTCTATTCAGGTGTTCAATGCTCCCTTCGATTTCGAACATGTCACTTACCACATGACAATAATGAACAACACTATACATCTGCTCGCCTTCGCCATCAAAGGTAAGACACTCGTGGCAGTTTCCTAATGAAGATCCATGCTTCGATGGGTATGGCAGGCGGGTTGAAGTGAGTGCAGTGAAAGGGGCAAGGAAAGATGCCGTCAAAAGCGCGCCGCTGCGTCGCGTTCTTTGCCATTGGAAAGAGCCGTTAGGCTGCTTTCATACTTCGCGCCGGTGCGATCGGTGCAGTCAGTGCACTTGATAGCGGGGTCCAACCAAGCGCACTTCATCACTTTCCGTGGCTTAACCACCCCTTCTAGATCCTGATCGCCTCTCCACCTCTCGAGCTCTGCGCCCGCCTTGTGAGGAGGAGGGCCTACATATTCCAAATTAGCTTATCAGCCTTTCAGTTGTTATCTTATCCTCTCACATACCTGCTATGTCATTGTTCGACCCACCTTGAAGGAATCCTTCGTGGAAAATGCTTGCATTCCTTCTTGACATAACTGTGTCAGTTATGATCACTGGAAATGGCACACAAAGTTCCACGCATGAACATTCGGTTTCCGAAGAGAAACAAACTTACAGAAACCCTACACGTGGACAGTCGACGGCAATTAGGGAGGAGCCAAAGGTGGGCATGGACAGAAGTCCGCCATGGGGCGGCTACGTATCAGGCACTCTGGCGCGGCCACGTATCAGGCACCGGTTTTTCGGATTTCTAGCCAAAACGAATGCCTTTTTGATTCTTTTCTTTCTTATCGTTAACGATGAGTTTCAAGCCAGTGAATTATTGGTTAGATAGGATCACGATTTTCCTAGAAGGATTGCTTCAATCGAGGGATCCGAGTCGTGCCTCGAGTACATAACTTCTAATCTTCCTCAACATTTTGCATGGTTGGCGGTGTATCCTTCATGTCGTAACTGTTGACCAATCGGTTTATGGGGTTCACATCTGTTGATCAGTTGTTTTCTGAGGTTCATTCTTGACGCCATTCATTCTAGTTGCTAGGATAACAGATCGTAGCGCCAAAAATACTTAGGCTGAAATCAAATTTTGTGAATCCAGCAAATCACTGGCTAATCGTGGGGTGCTAGCGTTGCAGCATCGAGTCGAACTATCTGTCAGCTGATCTAACAGTGCGCCAATGGATCGAAAGATGTACCAGCGACTCGACACTGTTTCAAAGTGGCGGCACTCCACTTTGCACACTTTGCTTGTCTCTCGCCACTTTTCCGAGCTCTCATGCCCTCGTGAGCCTGGGGAGCGGTGAAAGCCAACGCTCAAAGGCAGTCCCGCCACTTTTGTGCAGTGTCAAGTAGCTGGTACATCATTCGAACATTTGTTTCACAGCTCGATTCGCTGGTGCAACGCTGGTACCCTGCGATTCGCTAGCGAATCATAAGCCGAAATTGCTGACATCGCAATTAAAAGTGACAACCGGGCTCACTCGTACTGCCGCATCTCCTAATCAACACCTCTGAGGTCGGTGTAAGGGCACCCTCTTTTTTCCCAGTTTGAATACTTGGTCCTAGCTAAACGTTTAGTGCATATGTGTGAAACTGACATCCATAGGTTAGTCCTCCTAACCCCTTCTCCCCTCAAATTCTCTGTTCACTAGACGCAAGAATAAAATGGCAAGCCAATGTCAACAGGTTTATTTTTGGAAGAAAACTTGCCTTAAGTGAAGCGGGTTTCCTTTTTGACCGGGAGACACTTCTTGGTATTCTTGGTGTGTTATAATGGACGTAGCTACTTATTGCGCTATTCAGTAAACTGCATACCTCGTGGTCCTTGCTTACCCTCCGATGGTGTTCTTAAGAAGCAAAGCAAAGATCCCAAGTTGCTGTCAGATGAAATGTAAGTTTTCGCGGAGTGCATGAAGGAATCGAAAGGCAAAAGGAAAGTCATACTCTTCGTGACACGTAAATATCCCAGAAACGCTGCTTTAGCGAAATTTTTCTCGAGATTTTTGGGCAGTGGCTTACTAAAGTAGGTGCTACGACGTAGCACCTACTTCAGTGTTTGAGGTGTTCAAAGACTAATTATTGATGCCTATTACAACGATATATTGTGCCGGTGAATTGCTGGAAGCAGTCCGAGACTTTTGGCATGCAAAATACTCACAATTCTTCCACGATACACACCATCGCTTGAAAAGACCTGTCTGTGCAAAAACTGAACGGAAATTTAGTACTTTAACGAAGATTTTTAACCTCGATTGCGACGTGGTTCCTTTGAAGACTACCTGAGAGTTGTTTTCTTATATACTTCTCACACAAATACAAGAAGATAATTGCCCCCGTCATTGCGCGTCTTCCTCGTGTGTCGAATTAAGACCCCTGCTCTTTGCATCTTCGCTCCGAGAGCCCGAAATTAGAATTTTCACCCTTTGCGCAAAAGCAGAGAACAGCCCTAACAATAAGCCTTCCACTGTCAAAAACGAGAAAAAGTGTCGGGGGTATTGAGAACGAAACATCACAACTGACCGATGGCACGTCCAAGTAAAATTCGATTAGAAGTTTAGTTTTGCTCCACGTCATAACTACGAAGCAACCCATTGCTTGCCTACTGGAACGCGTCATGCTAATGAACATTTCATGACTGGTGCCTTCATCACGCATACTTTAGCATGCATCTTCTAATCTTGTCACCCCCTTACATCGCCGCATATGTTCCCTTCCCATCTACATCATAATCAAACCAAAGCCTAAGACTACTGCGACGCGCGCTATAAATTTGTGAACAGACGAAGGACGTACATATAACAGACACGAGACACACTAGGCGAATCATATATTCAGTCAGGAATGCATCAAGTCTTCATTAATATAAACCAGAAAGTTTGGTGTGGTCGTCTGTCGGTGGTTGCTGTGTCGTGTCTGTCGCATGGCGGCCGGAAACCGCGACCGCTCGACGAAAACAAGGAGTAACGAAAGGGCACACTTCGAGATGTTCGATGTCGATGATCCATGAAATAACAACCGTACGAGCAGCTATATACCCGATGCGAGCACACCAGTTCATTTGAACATGGTGCTGCTGTGTACAGCCGGGATGAGCGGGCAGGGTCTGAGGGGGGGGGTAGAAGGAAGGAGGCAAGAGGGGAGGCTGAATGGGGGGAGGAGGAAGGTGGAGGGAAAGGGGAAGGGAGAAACTGAGGGAGAACATGCGCTGTCATGCGCCGGAGAAGAGGTGTACGGGAGGGAGGTGGGGAAGGAGAGAGAATCGACCGTTTTTCAGAGTAAGGTCTATATTCATGTTGGCGCATTATTCTAAACCTTAATGGGTAACTTATGATAAGGCCGGCACAAATGGCTACAAAAACACGACCGCGAGCACAGTCGCCTCATTCTACATGTGCTGCCGGGGCATGCCGTAAGTCGGCGGCCGGTAAGGGAAGCAGAAAAGTGGGTGGGGATAGAAGGCGACGGAAGTGGGAGAGGAAGGGGGAAAACATCGGTGCTGCCATGCGCCGGGAAAAAGAAGGGTATGAGGAGGCTATAACACATTCATATAGTGCAGGTAGTTTTTAATGGTACGTCATTGCTCTGCTATTGCTGCGGTTTCATTCCCTGAACTGTGATTTCGCGCGATGGCGCCGCGTAAAGCAAACGCTGGTTCTATTATATTAGACCACTGAACTTGATGTCTCGCGTTTATATGTCGTATGTGCAGTCGAGTATCGAAAGCTGGTAGTGCTGATCAACGAAAGTGACGTGCACTGTTGAATTGAGAACATGTGGATGAGCTGCTTTAACAATCACACGGTCGCTCGATATCAGCAGAGTACTGGCAACGGCTTATTCCTCGGCAACTTCTATCAAGCGCAGCATCACTTACGCTGGCACTCCCACCGCCCAACTTTCGGAATATCTGACTGTATCCTGACATGTCTGTCGCGTCTGCATTGCATCTGCAAAAAAAATTATCAGTGATAAAGA